AATGTGGGACATGTTCGGAGAAGGAGAGTATGTTCCCTAAATCAAACCCGTTTAGCATTCGAGGCTAAGCTGGGTGCAGGAAAGTTTGTCATCCTTATTTAATTCTATCCAATATTTTATACCAAACATGTATTACGTTGCTAGAAAAATCAATGAATCGAAACTAAAGTTCTCATTATCTGTCCATTTTAAGATAAACTGAGATAATATTCAATTCAAACCAATAAACGCTACAATTCAAAAGTTTAATTTGTGTTTATTTATGTGGTCGTTAATGCTATTTTTGTCAATACTCCCAACCATCTTAGATGCAGTTAATGCTATTTTTGTCGATTTTCTTAATATTAAAGTTCAAATTCCAGCCCATTAAATAGGTCCAACCCATCGAATAAGGTTTAGTTTTTTGTTCTCTCAACAAATCTAGTTGCACATTTCCTGCTGCAACAATTCACTCTTCATGCTTGTCGTTTCTTTCTTTTGGTTCAAGTTCTTGATCAGTTGATAGTTGATCAATCCTAAGAACCTAAAGTAATTATGTAATATTTTTCATATTTTTATGAAATTCCCAAGCACAAGGGGAAAATAGGAAAATTAATTAAAAAAAAATTGAGTTGTGCATTTATGAAATGGTTTAGTAGAACCACCATAACAAGAACAACATTGACGGGAGCTAGTATCCGATGTTATACTATAGTTTCTAGTTCTGGACACAGCGAACGGCAAACCAATGACCGGTGAAGCTACTAGATAAGTGTTCGAGGAAGAAGGTATACATTGATGCACCTTTAGTTTAGCACCCACTATTGTGCTCTGACGGCTCAGCACGAAAGCCCAACGAGATGCTGCTCAAAAAACATTCGTAGTCGAGAAGGGTTAATATCTCTACCTCAAAAGGTTCTTTAGGTATGTCCAACCACCAACTTATAAGTCTCTTAATTTAACTAGTCTATTATTTCATTTATAATTTATATATTTTAGTATGACCACAATAATTCCATTTATGCTTCATATAATAGGCAATGTGTTCATTTAATGGTCAGCCTAAAATATTAATTACAACGTTCCTTAACTCAAAAGATATTATTATCAAGAACTTTA